TCGTTATTACGAGAAAAGATGTCGTTTTAACGAGAAAACATCTCGTTATTACGAGAAAAGATGTCGTTTTAACGAGAAAACATCTCGTTATTACGAGAAAATATGTCGTTTTAACGAGAAAAGATGTCGTTAAAACGACATAACATCTCGTTATTACGACATAACTGAGTGGGGAAAAAAATATGTGTGTGGCATCAATGCGTCACCGTACAAGAGTGTGCGCTTATCCAACACGAAAGCCGTGATTGTTTTTTAATGTGGTTTTGTTGAACCTTTCCCCTTTTAACATTGTATGAGAAACCTCCTTAAGACTAATGCAGAGAAACTGATGCTCATGTTTAGGTACATGAATCTATTATTGGGCACCAAATACAGGTTTTTGGTGTTTACATTTTGAATAGTTAGTGGTTCTAACCATTAAACCAAAACATATTTTACTTTCAGTTAATGTAATTAATACTTAATTAATTTTACTAAGATGTTGTTGCATTTATCATAAGTTTGTAAACTATGGTAGTAGTCAGTAAATAGATTGTGCAAAGTTGTCTTTACCCCAATGAAGTCCATTTTTAAGCAATGTTTCCCTCTTGTTCTGCTTCTTTACAATATTTTTTTTCCCACGGAGAAGCAGATGCTTGTGACATTTTGGTGTCTTGTTTTTCTTTAAATTAGCATCTTTGTGTTTTTGTTTCATTTTTGATCATTTCTATGAAGTTATCTGTGTTTTCAACACATTTTAACATTTAACACTTTATGTTCCTCAGTTATTGTTTCACTGTTCTTATTGCCGTGCCAACATGCTTATTAATTCTTTCTGATGCGTCACACTAACCAAAACGCAGAAGCATCTAAAAAAATCTGCATTTTTTGCTTCTTCCTTTTATATTCCATTCTTTTTACATCCTCCAACATCATGATTATGATAATTTCATTCAATTTGCAGGAAAAGTCATTAGCTCTTCATTAGCTATTGTATTGTTTTCTTTCTCTCCACTGATGAGAATCAGCAGAAAATTACATTCTATTACTTGAATACAAATAAGTGCATCACTTCGGAGTATGATTGACTTCTGCCTCTTCATTTCAGAAAAGTGCTGTCACTGATTAAAAATATACTTTTGCAGCTCCACTATTGCAGCCTTTACAAAAACGCCAAGTTGTTTTTGGTACATTTGTCTGGTATGTCTGGCACATTTGTGCAGTGCTGTTACACATCTGCAGATATGCGTCAAGTTTTTCTAATGCACTAAATCTTAGGCACTATGGCACAGCATGTTCCTACAAGATGTTATTGTTGAAGAAGTTCAACTCTTTCATTCTCTCTCAATCAGAGTGGCCAGAGTTTGTGAAGAACTATGCTCCATGGTGGGCATCCCACACACTAGACTGGCTGAAATATGGGAAGAAAGTTCAAGTGGTACACTTTGAGGATTTAAAACGGGACCTTTTCTCTCGGTTAAAAGGCATGATCATCTTTCTGGGTCTGGAAGTCTCAGAGGACCGCCTGCTGTGTGTGGAAGGACAGAAAGATGGGAACTTCAAACGCTCTGGGCTGAGGAAGCTTGAATATGACCCTTATACGGCAGAGATGCGTGCCACCATTGACGGGCTAATTAGGACTGTGGACACAGCACTCAGAAAGAGAAACCTGTCTGGTGTTCCTGAGGAGTACAGGCCCAGATGATACTCCTCTCTTCACTTATGCTTATTTTTTTCACAACACACTTTCCCCCCCCCATCTATACCCATTTTTTCCCTAGAATATGAAATTGATTATCATAATTTTCCTTGTTTGCTTTCAGTTTTAAGAATGGTGTGTAATGCGGAAATGAACTGCTAAAAAACGGGTCGTCCTTTCATTAATAATCTACACTACATAGTAAGACATGGGCTTGTGCAACAATTTGGCTTTGAGTTTAATCACCATGGATCCATCTTCCTTAGGCCAATATAAGTGTGTGGTAACTACAAATTCAGTTCAGTCATTAAGAGAAATGACTGTTCACACTTCTTATGAAAGTGTCTATTGCCATCAAGACATCCGGGACAGCTGTTTAGACACTACTGGACTCCCTTAAGCACTTCAGCCTCATTGGGAATATATGGACAGCGATTTCATTTTTAACATCTGAACCCCAGCTTCCTGTTACCACAAATATCTGGAAATTGCCTTCAGATGTTATGATGCTTCTTAAAACTGATCAGTGAAATAGTTATATTGGCAACAAAAATCCTCAATATATACCACGTGTATTAGATAAATGGGCAAATCGAAAACACGTGGTCTGGTACTTGCCTTCAGTGATTTGCAGGCAAATTGCAGCCCTTATTGAGCTATCGATTTAAATGAAAGCAACCAAGTTCTTCTGTTTTGTGTTTAGAGCACTTAAAAGTTGAGATTGTTTCAAGTTAACTTTTTTTCTTACTGAGGTTTTAAGGTGTATTTGCAGTGGATGATAAAAAGAAGAAAAAAAACAAACATTTCATAGTGTGCTCACAAAGTAAAAGAAATGGGGGCTTCTTGTAAATTGATTAAAATGACATTGACTGACCCTTTACCCCTTTTCTCAATCACAATTAATTTATTCTGTTAAAGGGATACTGAAGTTTACCCCAAAATGAAAATTCATTCAGTTATTTATGTTTTTGACAGACCTGGTCTAAAACACAGCTCTTACATGAGAGGAGTTGTGTATCAATATTTGTAATCACGTGAGGATGAGTAGTAAATGATGACAATTTTCATTTTTGGATGAACGATGCTTTTATGCAAAAAAAAAACCTTCTTCACTAATTTATGTCCCAGGTTAGACTTTGAGAGTAGTTGCACTGCGTACTGTGCGAGTTATAATGACTGGGTGCATCCCCACAAAATCAAATAATTCCTCTCAAAATAGATGTCAGGTTTTGGATGCAATTATATACTTGTTCCCTGCAGAAATGTTCAGAATAGTTATATTTGTTTTTAGTGTTTTAATTGCAGGAGTTTTTATTCAAAACAGCAAATCAGCTTTATTATTATATAAAATAATCTTGAAGGGGTGAAGCAATGTGCAAAAGAGACAAAAAGCACCTTGCGGGTAAATTTCTGCTTGTC